TGACAGGGGCAGAGGCAGCAGGGCAGGGGCAGCAGGGCCGGGGCAGCGGGCAGGGAAGGCAGCAGGGCAGGGGCAGCGGGCAGGGAAGGCAGGGCAGGGGCAGCAGGGCAGGGGCAGTGGGGCAGGCAGTGGGGCAGGGGCAGTGGGGCGGGCAGTGGGGCGGGCAGTGGGGCAGGCAGTGGGGCAGAGGCAGCAGGGCAGGGGAAGCAGGGGAAGTCCGGCAGGTGGGTCCTGAGGGGGGTGCAGAATGCCAGGGACCCCAGACCAGGTCCACTCTGCAGTGGGGAAGACAGCAGGGCAGGGAGAGCCGCCCCAGTTAGCACAGTGCTCCGGCCTGCTCTGCACTGGCCTCCTGGGTGTGGATCAGCCCCATGGCTCCGGCCCAGGCTTCAGCCCGCCCTGCCCACCTGCTGGCCCCCAACGCAGCCAGGCCTCTGCAGACTCAGCTCATTCTGCCGGGAGCCCCCAACACTCAGCCACCTCCGCGCCCCTGCCCGCTCCCTGCCCCCGCCCTGTGCCTGCTGACCCGTCTGCCTCCACCACCCATCCTGGAGCTCACGCAGGTGGTTGTCGGGTAGCAGGTGCGGAGCGGCTGAATTTTCTTGGGGAGGAAAAGGCAGCCTGGGAACGGGAGGCAGCTTCGACGAAAAAGGCCGGGAGAGGGTGTCTCAGGTGGGCGAGGAGCCGGGGAGGCGGGCGGGGCACGGGCGGCCCAGGGCGGGGCTGGCCCAGCAGGGCCCGCAGGCGCCGGAGCCCAGGGGTTTGGGGAGTCCTGGGACGCGCACCCCAAGGCGCAGGGCGCAGGGCCGGTGGCTCGTGGCGCGCAGCTGTGTGTGTGAAGAGAAGCCGGGGAGGCGGCCCTGGGCGCGGGGCTGGGGGGGGCGGGAGAGGCGCAGGGCACCGATTCCAGTTTAGGAATGGCAGGGGAGTCAGCAGGACGGGCAGGACGGGCAGCAGCCGCGCTCCACGGGGCGGGGGAGACCCAGGGGGGCGGGCCGAGCTTTATGGGGAGACGCCCCATGGAGGGCGGGGTAAGCTTCGTGGGGAGACCGTCCAGGGGGCGGGGCCGAGCTTGTCGGGGAGACCGTCCAGGGGGCGGGGCCGAGCTTGTCGGGGAGACCGTCCAGGGGGCGGGGCCGAGCTTGATGGGTCAGTTCTGTTTGTTTCTGCTTTTCCAGCGCGGTGGTGGATACTCAGTTGGGATAAGGAGCCAGTGGGAGCTCCTCGGGGTCAAGTTGCAGAGCTGGAGGGGCGCCAGGGCCCTGGCCAGCCTGTGTCCGCCTGTCCGGCTGTGGGTGAAGGGCCGCTCCAGGCCCTCGGATGCCGCCTGGGATGTGCCTGGAGTGGTGTGGAGCTGGGCTTAGTGCTGGGCTCTGGGCTTCTCTGATGCCCCCACGCTTGCCCCTGCGAGGCGGGGCGGGGGGTCAGTAGAGAAGGAAGAGTCCTGGGAGGGGACCCTGGAGCACGAGCAGGCAGGTCTGCAAGTGCAGGAGCAGACCCACATCCACGCAGAGCCCCGAGGTCCCAGCTTCGCGACGGTGGCTGTACATGTGCTCTGCTCACACGGGCCACAGGGCTGGCCCTACCACTTAGAAAAACCGGAGGGGTGGCTCCATCATGCCGACAGCTTTCCTATTCACAGAAAATCGTATCTTGTTTTTTAAATAGGTGCTAATGAGTTTTAACATGGATTACAACATCTCTCTTTAGCAAACCCATATTAACCTCTCAGTAAGAGTTTTTATCTTGTTTGGGATCCAGTGTGCCTGCTCCTTCTGGTTGGATAGGGTTAGGGTTTTTTTGTTTTTTTTGTTTTTTTTTAGAGACAGGGACTCACTGTGTTGCCCAGGCTGGAGTGCAGTGGCGTGATCACAGCTCACTACAACCTTGACCTCCCCGGCTCAATCGATCCTCCCACCTCAGCCTCCCAAGTAGCTGGGACTACAGGTATGCACCACCGTGCCCAGCTAAGTTTTGCCGTTTGTAGTGATGGAGTTTGCTGTGTTGCCCAGGCTGGTCCTGAACTCCTGGCCTCAGGTGAGCCACCTGCCTCTGCTTCTCAAAGTGCTGGGATTATAGATGTGAGCCACTGTGTCTGACCAGGGCTGGGATTTTTATCCTGGGGTTCATGATAGGGCTTCAGGGGGCCATCATTCCCTGTAAAGTGTACTTATATGGGAGAGCCGGGTGTGGTGGTACATGCCTGTAATCCTAGCACTTTGGGAGGCTGGGGCAAGAGGACAGCTTAAGAGACCAGCCTGGGCAAAATAGCAAGAGTCTGCCTCTACAAAAAAAAAAAAAAAAAAAAAAAATTAGCCAACTGTGGCACACACCTGTGGTCCCAGCTACTTGGGAGGCTGAGGCAGGAGGATCACCTGAGCCCACTGAGGTTGAGGGTGCTGTGAGGTGTGATTGCACCACTGCATTCCAGCCTGCGCAACAGAGTGAGACCCTGTCTCTAACAAAGAACAAAAACAGTAAGCATATGGGGGCTTGACTTTTTCTAAGGAGAGGCTCTGCATGTGGCCTTCTCTGGGGTCCTGGACCTGAGAGCACAGAGTCCCAGTGTGAGACGGCAGCTCTAACTGATCCAGCTTCCGCTTTCACGATGGCACTTACATGTGCTGTCAGCCCTTCCCTGGCCTGTGTGTCCTCTCCCCCAGCTCCAGTGGCTGGGTTAGGACCCCACCGCCTTGGCAGGGCCATCTGGAGGGTGGGCCAGCCGTGCTCCTGCAGCCATAGTGCCCAGGGCCCTGGGTGGGCTGCCAAGGTGCCCATCTCCCCTCTTGCTTCCTGCCAGGGCATTACCCATGTGGATGAGTGCCCAGCCATCCGGCCCTGGCCCCTGCACACACAGGAGCTGAGGCCTTGAGGAGCCTTGGTGGGTGCTCTTGCCCGGCTCCTGCCCTTCCTGGGCCTGGGCCTATGTGCACCAGATCAGCCTGTTGGGAAGTTTCTGCGGTGGCTTGTCTTGAATTTTTGTTCTGGGAACCCTTGGTTTAAAATATAGCAAAACAAACAAAAAGCCCAAAGGAGCAGTCCTAGCACCAAGTTGTCTGAGGCTCTGTGTCCAGGATCAGCGTGTCTGGGCATCTGTGGAGGGCTGGGTGGCGCTGCCCTGGCCCCAAAGGCCACCAGCTGCCCCGAAGGTCTCATGTCACTGTGTGGCCCCATCCCAGGCCATGCTTAGAGCTCACACAGCTGCTCTGGCAGCAAACATTTGAGAAGTAAGGTCTTTATGGTTCCAGATTTTATGGAAGTCACAAGCAACTCTGCCCTCAGGGAGGCAGGTCTAGAAGGGGAGGACGGGGCATGCTGGGTGGCCTGTGGGCCCGTGGATTCAGGAGGCTGAGGCCAGTGACAGGTTTATAAGGGCCTGGGCCCAGGACGTACTGTCAGGAAATCTTCGCAAGTGTAGAGGGACCGTCTTCCACCACGATACACATTGGTTATGTACGTACTTGCTCTTGGTAGAAAACTGGAGGGTTTGGAATGGCTTGAGGAAGAACCTAACTCACCAGCACGCCCTAGCCTCAGTTCTCCATGCATCCTCAGAGGCGCCGAAGGCCGCGGGGGACAGCCCTGTGGATGGAGGGAAGAGCCAGGCTGGGCCCGGAGGCTGGCCCACCTCAAAGAAGCCCCTGGTGTGGGCTTAGTCAGGGGTTGCTGTTGGGGTCCTCTGTGGGTCCTGCTGCCTCCATCCTTGGAGGGCAGGGACGGGGATGTGCTGAGGCCTCAGGGCCAGCCCCTCCAAGGCCGCCTGGAGTTGGCCTGGCCGAGGTGCCCGCGAGTGGGTGCCTGAACCGCCCCTCCCCAGCCTTGTCCATGTCTCTTTCGGGTCCAGTTCTGCACAGCACAGGCGTCCCCGCCCACCCTCAGCAGAAGCCCACCGGGGGCCACAGGTCCCCAGCAGTGTGTGGAGGTTTCCTGTGGCCTCGGGGCTGGTGCTGAGACCCCTCCGAGAGCCCAGCACGTCGCGTCCGGCCACATGGGCCTCTTCAGGGGCTGCCCCCTCTCCCTGCCGGGCCTGGCACGGCACAGCCGCCTTCCGTGACAGCCACCCCTCCTCCTCTGACCGTAATTCTCATCTCTCTTTTTGCCTGTCTCAGTTGACCTTGAAACAGCCTGAGAGTGGGGGAGCTGCCTCCTTTTCACATTCCTGGAGTCAGGGTCAGGACTGAGAGGGTGTCCATGCAGCCAGGCTGGGGCGTAGGCCCACCTGCTCAGCTGCCAGCCCTAACCCCAGCCTGCCCCTGTCCAGGGCACACAGCCACGATGGGGCACAGGGGTTGCTCTGTGAGCTCCAGTCCAACTCGGGCCCCTTAGCCTGTCCTGCAGGGAGGTTTGGAGGAAGCCAGGCTTTTAGGCAGAGGGGATGGTGTGACCCCGTGACAAGTGTGTTGACCGGGGGGGCCTCTGATGGGGGAGCCTAGACACGGGGTGTGGACTCAGAGACTGGCCCACCTAGGGGCTGGGCTGTGGGGGAGGAGCACCACCGCCGTCGTGCTGGCATCCCCTGGGGACAGGCTGTTTCTGTGTTGGTGCCACCCACAGCTCTGCCCGTGTGGCTCTGTCGGGCGCTGGGACTCAGGGTCTGAGCACTCCCGTCCCTGCACGCCTCCCAGGCCGTGCCCCACCGGGAGCTCCTCCTATGCAGATGCCCTGAGGGCCCGGGAGCTGCCCCGCCCCCGCTGGGCCCTGCTCACCCCTGCCCTGCCCCCACAGGTCCACAGCAAGGACAAGAAGTACGTGTGCAAGGTGTGCAGCCGAGTGTTCATGTCTGCCGCCAGCGTGGGCATCCGGCACGGCTCCCGGCGCCACGGTGTGTGTGCCGACTGCGCTGGCCGAGGCATGGCCGGGCCGCTGGACCACGGCGGCGGGGGCGGCGAGGGCTCCCCAGAGGCGCTGTTCCCAGCTGACGGGCCCTACCTGGAGGACCCCGACGACCCACGAGGGGAGGTGGAGGAGCTGGGCGAGGATGACGAGGGCCTGGCCACCGAGGACGCGCTGCTGGCAGACGACAAAGATGATGAGGACTCGCCTCGGCCCCGCAGCCCCCCCCGGGGGCCCCGACAAGGACTTCGCCTGGCTCTCCTAGGCACGCCGCCCACAGGGTTGGTGGCTGCATCGCTCTGTCCACCATGTGTGTGTCCGGTGGGTCTCCACTGCAGGGCCGGGGCCACGCCAGCCCCTCCCTCAGCCCTTCCTCCGATTCTCCCTGAACCCACCCCCCACAAAACCAGCCCTGTGGGCTAAGAAGCAGGTTCAACCCCAGCAAGGGGCGCTCGGGGACCAGACGTGAAGTGAGCTGGGGGTGGGCACAGGGCGGGTTTGAGTGAAGAGAGAGTGTAGTCCTAAGTCTCCAGCAGGTGGTGCGGGTGTGTGAGTGGCCCCCGTGATGGCCAGCTTAGCTTGGACACGTGACGGCCCTGTGGCCAGGTCCAGTGGGCACTGGGCAGGGTCATGCGTTGGGACCAGCAGTCCTCAGCCTGAGCAGGTGTGAGAGTTTTGCAGACACCCAGTCAGCCTGGCTGGAGCCCGCCCTCCCCTCCCCCAGCAGCCAGGTCACTGCCTGTGGCTGCAGCCGTGGCCCGTGGCAGCCTGTAGAGTCCAGGTGTGGTGCACAGAGAGCGCTGCCACCCTCTTACCTCTGGGCTTTGGTGCTTTTCACACAACACGGCTGCAGAGCCCTGCTGGAGGCCAAGGCTCCAGGTGCTATCTTCAGCGGACACAGCCCTGGGGGCTCCTTCCACAAGGGGACCCTCTGCCCGGTGCCCCCGCCTTCAGGTCACACCAGGTTCCCTTTGTGAGGGCCTCGGCTCAGTTGCGTGCACTTCGTTGGAGAGCCTTGGGCTGCTGTGTCCACCCCGGGCTCTTCCCATCCTGTTCCGTCCATGGCCCAGCCCGGCCAGTCCTGCTGACCCCTCCTGGACGGGCTGGAGCCAGGGTCCTGCCTTTGCTGCTAACACCGGAGGCGGTGTTCCTAACTGCCGTGTGCTGCTTCCACCCCACCCCCGACGTGGGTCACCAGATTCTTAAGTAGTCAGAGACATATCGAGGTAGCTGCATAACATTATTTGGTTTGGCATGATTTTTCTCACTCGACAAGACTATGTAGGGTTGCTTTTCCTTCAGCTTGTGGTCAAGTCCTCTTGCTGTCTTTTCTTTTTTCTTTTCTTTTTTTTGAGACGGAGTCTCGCACTGTTGCCCAGGCTGTAGTGCAGTGACGTGATCTCAGCTCACTGCAGTCTCTGCCTCCTGGGTTCAAGCGATTCTCCTGCCTCAGCCTCCTGAGCAGCTGGGACTACAGGCGTGCACCACGACGCCCAGCTAATTTTTTTGTATTTTTAGTAAAGACGGGGTTTCATCATGTTGGCCAGGATGGTCTCGATCTCCTGACCTCATGATCCACCCGCCTCGTCCTCCCAAAGTGCTGGGATTACAGGCGTGAGCCACCGCGCCCGGCCTTTGCTTTGTTTTCAAAAGTGCTGACGTGTTCTTTCTTTTCCTGAGCGCAAAGCAAAGGTTCCATGCTGTGTGCCGTGGTGCGCTGCCTGGCTTGGGGGTCCTGCAGGCTGCTGGCCAGACTCACAGCTTCAGGACGGTCGCTGCAGCCTGTCTTCCGGTTCTGGCTGCCTCTACGGCACTCACCACTAGGACAGTCCATCTCTCACTCCCTCCTCGCGCGCAGGCTTTGGATGAGAGGTGGGCGTGGTGGCCGTCTCCTTCCAGCACGACCTGGCCATGCGAGGAGACCTGGGGGTGCTGAGCTTCAGGCCTGCGTGGAAAGAGTTTTTATCTTCTCTTTTTCCAGCTTGTTTACCACAGTGGCTTTTACCCACATTGTCAGGAGCACCAGCTTCCCTGCTCCAGGAGGGCTGGGCTGGCGAGGGTCCTGTGGAGAGAGGGGTGCTCGGAGGACTCCAGGTACCTGGCAGGAGTCACGGCTTTTGTTGTTTTTAACATCGGCCACCAGTTCTACCAATGACAGGGCGCCCTGGCTGGGAGGCTGTCACCCCTGGAGCTGGAGAAGGAGGCTGAGTGTGGGGGCAGGGGCGGGGCAAGCGCCGGCCCCTCAGCAGTGAGCCCTGCCCACTCTTACCGGTGAGGTGGGCGGCTCTGGCATGAGCCCCCCAGGGGGTGCTCCAGCTTCTGCCCTCACCCCAGGCCAGCCTTGCCCAGGCCTCTTTGAGAGGTCTCAGAACTTTGTACCTTTCCCCATTTTTAAACCCTTTTCTAAACAGACTTTCTTATCAAATGCGTTTGGAAACCAGACCTTTGCTACCAACAGATGTCTCTGGGTTTTGTACCAGTCCCTGCTCTCAGGCCACCCTGCCCAGGACCTGGGCCCGACTCCCCCTCCACACTCAGGATGTCCTGCTCCGTCTGGCCCGCTCACTCCACGTGGCCTACCTTTGCTGACCGCTTTGGGGTTCCCTGTCGGAGCCACAGGGGCATTTTCTTCCCTAAAACCAACACTGTCCCACTGACCCCCCGTGTCGGCTGCATGGCAGAGCTCTTGTTCCTAGTGCGCCGACTGGCGTGTGGGCGCTCCAGGCCCCAGGCAAACACATCCATCTCTCAGGAGGCGCGGAGGGAAAAGACGTGTGTATGTAATGAAGGGTTTTTTTTTTTTACGTGACTGATTTTTTTTTTAAATCGATGTTCAAACTAATAAATATTTTTTTATGAAGAGGAAAAAATGTGTAGATTACATTTCACATTTTGTATTTTTTTTTGTGTCTGTTTGTATTTTGGTGTTTGCAACACCAAAGTGGAAGCTACAGTCCATTGGGGGGGGTGTTATTTGGGGGCGGGGAGGGGGCAGGGACGCCACGACTTTTCTATCAAGCTCGGGATCCTGAACAGGTTGTACGTTGGGGCTCTCTGGGCTTTGGGGAACAGGACCCTGCCGGGGCTCCATAGGCACCCGACTCAGAAGACGCAGCTTACCGCTTCCAACTTTGCACATCTTCCTCTTTAGAAAACTGAGAGAATGCAAAAACTGGAACTTTTTGCAATATTATAAAAAATCTTATTTTAGCTCATTCTGTGACATGTGCAACTCTTAAGAAAGCCATACTTAATGGTGGTGTTTATTTTTTAGATCTTCTATTGTGTTTTGTATGCAGCCCTGTTAGAACTACTTGTAGTGAGGGTGCTGTGTGTGCTTTTCTTAAATATTTATTTTTTCAACATGCTTTCAACCTGTCAACGAAAACAAAACACAAAAAAAGGGCAGTGTTTGAAGATATTGTTGATTTTTTCTGGGGATAATCTATATTATATTGACTTTATATTACTTACTATAAACCTGTGTTTGTATAGGAGATGTGTCTAATATTGGGGGGAAGAGGTTTTCGTGATCGGTCGGTGGGAAATCTCGGCTCTGTGCCTGCTTCTCTGCGGCCGAGGACAGGTTAATGTGACCTTCTCTTCGGTGAGCCTCCAAGTTTCTTGTCTGCCTAGGCACGCCCCCGGCCTGCCTGTGCGTTTCCTTTCTGTGACGGGATTAGCTTAGACATTCTTGCAAAGCGATCACTTTCAATAAACTGGGAAATTGCTGCTCCAAGCAGAGGCCTCCTGTGTGTTTCAGACGGCATCCCTCCTCCCGCCTCGCCTGGGGCATGGTGTGGGGGCGGCTGAGGGGTGACCCCGGCCCTCTGTGGCTGGCTGCCAGCCTCTACCAACTTGCCCACACAGGGTCCCAGCCCCATGGCCTTCCTCCCAAGAGGCAGACAAAGCTTCTGGAAAAACCTCAAATTTTTAATTTCTCTTTGCCTGGTACAGCCCAGACGTGAGACACCTGAGCTTTAAAAACATCAGCCCCAGGGCCCTAGAGCCATCGAGTTAAGTGCGAGTGGGGAGTGCTCTCCCCGACACCCTCAAAGTGCATTGGGACTGGCCCCCAAAGCGGGGCCCAGAACACCCTTGATAAAACTATGGGCTGACAGGCAGGGAGGGAGGGTGGCTGCCCCAGGGCCCCTGGGGCTAAGGGTTCAGGGGTGTGGTTTGGCTTTAGTGCAAAAGCTGGTTTCTTCAGAGGCACTTTGAGTGGTGGGACCCCTCCCGACCTCAGGGGGTTCAGGGTCACCAACCTCCTTCCCCCATTCAAAGCAGACCCTGCAGCTGGTGAAGCCCAGGCCCTGGGGCTCTCCACGGGCAGTTTCAGCCCCAGGCCTGGGGGTGGGGGGAGAAGGTGGCAGCTTCTGTTCTCAGTCCAGGAAGCGCTGGCAGGCCTTCTTCCAGCGGCAAGCCGTGCACCACAGGTCTCTGCGCTCCATGCCATACACCTTCCGGCACTTCTTGGCATCACCGCGGGGCTTCCTGAGGGGCACAGGACATGGAGGCTGTGAGACCGGGACCCTCCCCACCCGGTGCCTGCTGAAGCCCCTCAGCCCACACGCACCTCAGGCTGACTGCAATCCTGGAGGACAGGGCCAGTGAGCAGGCTCCGAGCTCCGTGGGCGGCGGCTCCAGGTGGGCAGGAGTCAGGCCGCCCTGTGGGGAGACACAGCCAAGTGTTCACTCCCCTCTGAGGGCCCTGAGACCCGCCCCCTCGGCCACCTGTGGCCTCACCCACCTGGTAGACACGGTCGCTGTGGCAGGACTGGGGGTTAGCAACGCCGGTGCTCAGGACAGGGGACAGGAGTGGGGGCCGGGCAGGTGGCTGCAGTGGACGGGGCAGGACCGGAGCCTCCAGCAGCTCTGGCAGCTCCAGGCGGGAGAAGGTGGGTGGCATGGAGGCCGTGGGGGACACTGGAGTCAGGCTGGACAGCCCGTCGGTCAGCGTGTCCACACCAACATCCAGCTCTGTGTAGTAGAAATCCTCCTCACCGTCACTCTGCTCAGGCTCTGCCTGCCTCCTGCAGGGGACACAGCCGGTGGGAGCTGAAGGGGGTGTGGCCCGACTGGGCCTCCTCACACCCCCAGCCAGCCCGCAGGCCCGGCCGCACCCAGGCCCCGCCGCACCCCAGGTGCACCAGGCGGATGTGTCTCTGCATCGCGGAGGCTGTGCTCAGCACCTTCCCGCAGCTCTTCCACAGACACTGGAACATGACCTGGGCCGGACTCTGCAGAGACACCGGCTGGGGTCAGGCTCAGCCGCCACTGCGATGCCCACCCCCCCAGGGGCCACCCCCAGGCTCACCTTCCTTTTCCTCAGGGTGGGCTCCCCAAACAGAAAGTGGGCTGCCTCGGGGGGCAGTGGGGGTGACGGGGTGGACGGAGAGGACTGATCACTGGCCAGGTCCCAGCCCCAGTCTCCACTGTTGCTGCTGCTGCTGTAGCTGCCTGGGGGCCGCCCCAGGGCCTCCTTCCAGGGCTCCAAGCCAGGCTCTGTGGGGACACGTCCCCCAGAACTTTGGATAAGTCCAGGGAGTCCCTAACCCCGAGCTGCCCCCGTTCACCTACTCCCAGGTGGTCAGAGTGCCTCGGAGGAGGACCTAGCCCCGGGGCTTGGGGAGAAGCCCTCTCAGCACAGGAAAGTGTGGGCAGCCGTGGGTGGCCAGCCACATGGAGGTGGACAGGTCAGGGAGGCCAGTCGGGCGCTGAGGGTGCGGAAGTCCATTTTAGAAAGGTGGCTCCGCCGGGCGCGGTGGCTCACGCCTGCAATCCCAGCACTTTGGGAGGCCGAGGCGGGTGGATCACGAGGTCAAGAGATCGAGACCATCCTGGTCAGCATGGTGAAACCCCGTCTCTACTAAAAATACAAAAAATTAGCTGGGCATGGTGGCGTGTGCCTGTAATCCCAGCTACTCAGGAGGCTGAGGCAGGAGAATTGCCTGAACCCGGGAGGTGGAGGTTGCGGTGAGCCGAGATCGCGCCATTGCACTCCAGCCTGGGTAAGAAGAGCGAAACTCCGTCTCAAAAAAAATAAATAAATAAAAATAAAGAAAGGGGTCTCCAAAGCACATCTGGGAAAGGCATCCGCAGTTTGAGGGCTCTCCTTGCCCCACAGAGGCTGGGTGGCTGTAGGTCCTGAGCCCTGTCTCCCCACCACAAACCTCTGAATGCAGACATCTGAGTCTCACCTGGGCTGAAGGCTACAACCGGGGCCCCCAGAAGGAGTGGACTGGTGGACAGGCTTGTAAGGGCAGCGGCAGCCATGACCTCGTCCAGCCGGGCTTTTCCTGGGGTGTCTCTGGAGAAGATGGGGGCGGGGTGCGGGTGACCCAGCCAGAGCTCCGGGCCCCTACCCTGGCCGGTCCACGTGCAGGCCTGGGCACGCGTGCACACCAGGCTCCCCACTCCCAGCCCTGGGCATGAGGCCTGGCTCCTCCCCCGGCTCAGGTTGCAGAGAGCTGAAAGCCACCGGGAGCCGCCAGGAGCCGGGCCAGGGTCTCCCGAAGCCAGAGTTTGCCACAGCGAGGGCCTGGCTCCACTGTAGTTCCTTCAGACCCTAGTGCAGGGCACGGGTCCGAAGCCCGGGTGGAGGAGCGGGCCAGGCCCAGGCCTCCCCCGTCACATATTAACCAGGGTTGCGCAACAGCGGCTGTGGGCCTCGAGCCAGGCCGGGGAGGTGGGAGTGGCCAGCAGCCGGCAGCAGCCGGGGGAGACCGGGCTGGAAGCGCGGGCAGCTCCCCAGGCCCCAGCGAGCCAGGCCAGAGCCCGCCCCTGCCCTGGCAGCCAGACCGAGGTGTCCGGCCTGGCAGGGGTTGGGAGGCAGCGGTCAGGAGCCCCAGGGATTCCTGGACAGTCGCCCCACGGCGACCGCGCAACCACCCCCTCCCAGTTCCGCGCTCTAGCCCCGAGGAGCGGCGGTGGAGGGAGGCACAGGGACCCCACGTCCCGATCATTTCTGCCCCACTCTGGGCTGCAGGGCTTGGGGCGGGTGGTGACCAGACACCTGGGCCCTGACCCGGCCTCCGCGGGGCCTCCCGAGGGAAGGGACGGAAGGCGTCTCCGCCCCCAGCCCGCCGCCCTGCGCACCCGAGGCCTGGGGCACGCGCCCCCCGCTCACCTCTGCGCCGGCACCGGGATGTGCGCCGACGGAGTCCGGGGCCCCGCCGCACCCGCCCAAGGCCCGGGGGCCCCCAGCTCCGAGGCCCGCAGCTCCGATTCCCGCGGCCGCGCGAACTCCAAGCCCGCGAGGCCGCCGCCCACGGAAGCGCCCTACGGGTGGGGCAGGCTCAGCGGAGGTGGCGGCCGCGGGTGGGGGGGTCCCCAACCTCCGCCGCAGATCCGCTTGCGCCCGCCTCGAAAACCGGCTGCGGCCGGTGTGGCCCGCACGGCCCCGCCCCCGGCCCCGCCCCCAGCCCGGCACGGCGGGAAGAGCTCCCCGGCGGCCCGGCACAGCCGCGCGAGACCCACAGACACGCGCGGACCGACGCGGCCACCGCTCCCCCGCCCCGCCCCCGGGGGCCCAAAGTTTGGGCGGCACTGGCGCCATCTTTGCGGCGAGAAGAACTTGGCCGGCGCCCCCGCCCACCGGCGCCCGGTACCTGCGGCGGCGTGGGCACCGTCACGGGAGAGGCGCGCGCACCCGGGCTCTCCGCGCGCAGCCACGGCGCCTCGGCCCGCAGCGCACCAGGGTCACGGCCGGCGGCGCGGGGCGGGGGGCGCTCGGCCTCCATGGGGCCGGCCGGGCGCCGAGGCTGCAGCGGCGAGGCTGACGCTCAGGACGCGGCCCCGGGCCGGGCCGGGCTGGCCGGGCCGCCGACCCCCGCCCTGGATCCGGCCGCCGCCCGCGCCGCGCCGCCCGCAGGCTCCCCGCCCCGCCCCGTCCCCGCGCGCATTGGCCGCGCGGCGTCCACACCGAGGCGGGCGGGCCCAGCCGCCCGTGCTCCCGCTGGCCCGCGCTCGAGGCCCCGCCCCGGGCCCGCCCCCCGCCGGGTCGCTCCCGCGCTGGCCCGGGAGGGAAGCCCCGCCCGCCGCCGCCCACCCCGCGCGCCCCGCCGGGCAGGGCCGGTGCCCCACGGGCGCGCTCGCGGAGCTGCCGGAGCCGGGGAAGGGGCCGCGACGGCCTGGCGGGCTTCCCGGGAGCAGGTTACTGTTTAACGCCGACCGCCCCCCCACCGCCCCTTACGTAACACCCGGCGGGCGGCGGAGCCTCCGGGGCAGCGCGGGGTCCGAGTCCCGCTCGGGCGGCCTCCATGCCGGCTGCACGCCCCCAGGGGCGATCAGACCGCGTCCCCGCGATGACCGGGGGTCTGGGCGGCAGGAGCACCGCCTCCGCGAGGCCCGGGCTCCCCCAAGGCCGGAGGGGACCGCCCCCCCACTTCCAGACGAGCCCCTCCCCCCGCCCCGACGCGCGCAGCTTTCAAGAGGAGCCGGCTGCGAGGCTGGCCGCGTTCATCCTGCGATGGCGGTTTATTTAGACGCGGGCCTTCTCTGGAGCCCGGGGAGGCCGCGGCTGTCGGAGCGGCCAGGACGGCACGGACCGCACGGGCCGGCAGCCGGGGGACCTGGGACTTGCGCTGTCAGCTGCGGGCGGGGCGCGGCCCGGCCTCATTCGGAGGAAGGAGCACGTGTCCCGGAGCGTTCAGGGCAGGGAGGGGTCTCCAGCCGCTCCCTAGGCTGGGGCAGCTGGAAGCTGGGGGCGTCCGAGCCCCACACGTGCCGCCGCTGCCGGCGGGGTCCCCCGGCTCCCGGATGCTCTCATACACGTTTTCCAGGGGGCCGCTGTCCACGTCCGGGGCCCTGAGCGGGGGGCTATGGTAGGCCGGGTCGCTGGCCACGGCCAGAATCGCTCCCTGGCCCTTGGGGTCTAGCGGGTCTGTGGTGGGTCCTGGCTCCCTCCTTTTAGGCTTGCAGACCCTGGAGTACAGGACGTCCACCTGGAGAGAGGAGTCAGCACCATCCAATCTGCTGAGGACCTGCCGGCCCCACCCACCGGGCCCCACCCGGCCCACCTTACCCGAGCGGCGGGGGTCACCTCGGCCTTCCCCTGCTGTGGCTCCTGGGGACTGCGATGGGTCCCCTTGCGTTTCTGGACGCGGGCATACTCAGCCACCATAGGGCTGGCCGCCAGGCTGACCCCGGGAAGGGCCGCCAGCCCCACGTTGGAATAGGTAGCCTCGGGTTCAACGCACCCTGCGCTGACTGCAGCTGCCGGCAGAGCCCGGGGCCGCTCCCGGTGTGGGAAGGCAGAGGCGGCTCCCTGCGATCCGCTGATGTCCCTGGACACCTCCAGCCAGTGTGGGCGCAGGAGATCCACGCTGGCAGGCCGCAGGGCTGGGGGTGGGGTCAAGGCAGAGTTCACTCGCGGCAGGCAGCAGGAGTGGGTCTGGCGCAGAGTTTGGGACGCTCACAGCAAGCCCTGCCCGGCCACCCGCCCGCCCACGCCCCGTGCTCCGCTCACCCCTGCAGCTGAGCGGGCCCCGGTGCAGCTCGTGCAATCTGGTGTCCGACTTGCTGAGGGAGCAGAGGTGGGTCCGTCTCAGCAGGGACTGGGGGCAAGGAAGGCTGGTCGGTCCCCTGCGGGCCTCACCCGGGTCCCCGGGACAGCCTGGCACTCACCGCTTCCGCTGGCATCTCACTGCCCTGCAGCTTCGCCCGCTGCCTCCGCGCCCGCTTCCTGGGGGCTAGAGCGTCCTCTGGCCTTGGGGGTAGATGTGGGAGGCGGGGGAGCAGGGTTATCAGCCTCGGGTCCAAGGCCCGGTGCGCGGGCGTGTGCACAGTTGGGTGTGGAACCTGCCTCCAGCCCCTTCCCGCGCTGGGCAGCGAATGGCAGCCGCAGCAAGGCCCAGACAGAACCGGGCTGATGGACATACCTGCGGCAGGCTGTGCACAGCGCCCACAGCCAGAGGAGCAGGGCGCAGCACCCTAGAACCCAGAGGGCAGGAGGGGCCCAGGACACTTGCAACCCCATCCCGTGAAGCCAGGGCCCTGGGGGCAGAAGAAAGGGGCACTGGGGGCTGGCCGAGGGGACCTGTGCCAGCCGGCAGCCTCACATCTGCACCTCCTGCTCAGGCTCTGACTCAGCATCGGAAGCCCCAGGGCCTGGCAGGCCCTGCCTCCCAGAGATGCCCACCCTCCCTTCTGGTTGGGGATCCTGGTGAGTAAGGGCTGCTCTGCTTGGCCCCTTGGTGACCCTGCGGGTGACCCTGCTAACACCCAGCATGGCTGTGAGGAGGTGCAGGGCAGCTGTGGTCACGTAGCCCAAACCCCAGCATTGGGGGAGGCCCTGGGTGTGCGCCACAGGCCAGACTCCACCTGCAGCCAGCCCTGTCCCGACGCGGCCTCCTGGGTCAGGTAGCGCCTCCTCCAGGCCACTCGCCATGGAGCCCAGAACCCAGAGGGGCTGGAGACTGGTCAGCAGGAGGGACCCTGCTGGATCAAGTCTGAGAAGCCATTCAAAGAAGCTGTCCCTCTTGCACTCCAGGCCCCAGCAGTTGGTCATTTCTGTGACTTCCTTGGCAACTCTAGGCCCCTCCTCCCACAGCCACGGCCTCCCATCAGTGAGGCTGTGCTGCCGCACCTGCACTCCTCTCCAGAGGGACTGAAGGCTGCGGCAGCAGGCGGCAGCAGCTACTGGGGTTGCCGAGTGCCCCCACCCCGCTTCTCTATGGCTCTTCTCATCTGCCACTGTCTCTGCCAAAGGATCTGTGCCTTTCCTGGGGCTTGGCAGAGCCTCTGGGGGGTGAGGGTGGTCTCTGCAGTTTGGGGCCAGTCTGCCCGGACCCAGGCAGGGGGCTTCAGCCTGGCCGACTGACCCAGCCACAGCCACATCCCAAGGACTGCCCCCGCAGGGGCTAGCCCCACCAGACCCCAGCGGCACCCCAGGAGGGCACTTGGGGACCTGCCCAGGCACTTACCAAGCCCGCGGCCAGGGGTCTTCAGCTCTGCTGGGGAAGGCCAGGAAGGTCTTTGTGCAGCCCTCAGCCGAACACCCCACCTCATCACTTCCTGCGCGTCTCCGAGCGCCTCCCCTTGCAGCCTCCCACCCTGGGCCGCAGCCACCACCGCAGCCTCACCCACCTGCTGCACCCCGCCCGAGGCCTAGAGGAAACGTGCATGCCTCTAGCCTGCACTGTTGAGAGCCTAACTCACATCCCCTCCACACGTGGAGAGGTGAGCAGAGCTGGCACAGAACCCACAGACCAGGTCCACCTGCCTCACCAAGAACCCCACGTGGTGGGCCACAGTCCTCCCGCCCCTGCCCATCGGAGCAGCACTGAGCTCCACCCATCTGTGGGTGTCAGGCGGCTCCACCCATCTGTGTCTGGCAGGCAACCTGGCCTCTGATCCGCCTTGGTCAGAGAAGGGAGAGCGCAGGCCTCCTAGGCCCCTGCAGCCCCGCCGGCCTCTCCCCACAGCCCTGCACAGAGCCTTCTCTTTCCAGAGGCCCTGCAGCCAGCTGATCTCCACTGAATGACACTGCGATGGAAAACACTTTAATGTCCTTGCCAAGGAAATGCCCAAGACACTGGCAGACGGGCAGGTAATTGTCCAGATGGGGCCCCGCAGCCCCGTCTCCACTCAGCAGTGTCTGCATGCCCCAGGCCAGCAGGCCAGCCCTCCTTGGGCAACATGAGTTTTCCAGTGGGGAGGGCAGCCCATGCTGGGTCCACCTTCCCCGTAGTGCGTGCGGGGTCTCTAGAACTCAGTCATCCTCTTGTGGGTTTCTGCCTTCCTCTGCTCCTGCTGCAGGCCCGCTTCCTGCGCCCGGAGCTGCCCCAGCTGCCGCTGGGCTCCCGCCAGCTTCTCCTGCAGCTGGGCTGACGCCACGCTATGCCTGGGGAGGGGCCCACCAGTCAGCGTGGCTCCTGGGCCACTGCCGCCAATCCGAGGCTGCCATGCCCACCACCCGTCCTCCAACATCCAGACCCCTCCTGGGCTCTGCTCATCACGCCTGGGTCAGATGACCTCCTGCACGTGTCCTGGAGGCATGGCCACCCTGGGCTGCCCTCTGCCCCGAGCCGGGCCCCACACATACCGGCCAGCGTTGCGGGCGAGGGCCTCCTGGATGCTCCTGATGTCCCGCTGGGTTCGCTCGATCTTCTCCTCGGTCTGGAAGAGCCGCAGGCTCAGGGCCCGCTTGGTGCTCTTGCTGGCATGGTACATGTCCTTGCTCCTTTTCCCCACAGGGGCCGCCCCAGCCTCCAGGGCCCCAGGAGCCTGGCCTTGCAGCTTTTCATTGAGGAAGTCAAACACGTTCCGCGGGGGTAGGCGGCCCCCAGGCCTGGCCCCTCTTCCACGGCACCTGGGGGGCTTGTTGGTGCCAGCCTTGCCAACCCTGGTCCGCTTCTGCAGGATCTCCGCACACTGGTCCAGCGACTTCCCTCGAGGCAGCACCACAGCATGGATGGGCTCCACCCGGCCTTCGGCGTGTCGGCCCAAACCTGAGGAGGCCCAGGGATGGCAATGCTGTGTGCTGTGGGAACCCGGCTGTGCTGCAGCCGCCCCCCACCTCTCCAGGACAGCAGGCACTCACCCTTGCCAAACTCATAGCCCATCTTGGCGAGGAGTCTGGAGCCTATGCCTCGCGTGTGCACCTCCCAGCCAGCAAAAGCAGAGCTGCAGGTCCCGGAGTCCACAGGGTCCGACCCCACCACTGCAAAAGACGGACAGAGGGCAGTGGCTCGGCCAGGCCAGGGGACTGTGCATCCTGACCGGGGCTCTGGCCATGAGCTCAGCTCCTGAGCAGAGCCCCAGCACCCCACCTCTTGGGCTCTGCACTCTGTCACCGAGGCCTGCTGTGGGCATGTGACACCAGGCAGAGCTCGTGGCAGTCCCCACGGCCTGGTGCACCGTGGCCCTTCCTCCACAGCCCTCTCCCGCCCCTGCCCTTCTCCACTTTCACGGGGCCGTGAGCTCCTACCTGCCCTCAGAGTCCACGGTCCACTCCTCCTTCACTGGGGACATGGGGCTTCAGAAGTCACCAACTCACATCACCGATCCCTGGGTACACCTCCCTGTCTAACTGACCACTCTGGAGAGCTGGACACTGCCCACCAGTTCCCAGTCCGGAAACTTCCACCCTAGCTGCCTGGACACAACCTCTGTCTGCTAGGATCCACCAGGTACCCAGGTCCCAAGTCTGAGAAGCCATTCAAAGAAGCTGTCCCTCTTGCACTCCAGGCCCCAGCAGTTGGTCATTTCTGTGACTTCCTTGGCAACTCTAGGCCCCTCCTCCCACGGCCACGGCCTCCCATCAGTGAGGCTGTGGCTGCTGCACCCGCACTCCTTCACGTCAGAGGCCACCGTGGCTCCACCCCAGCCTTCACTCATGCTCCTGCACGCCGACGCCACACCGCCTCCCCAGGCACAGCTGGCACCTGTGCTGAGCACAGCGGCCTCGCTGCAGTCCACACTCTGCAGTGGTTTTGGTCAATGGTTGGTGAGCCCACCTTCCTGCCTCCTGGGCCATACCTCTGGCATAGCTGGAGTCGCCCCTGCCATCGCTGTCTGAGTCGGAGGACTCTGTGGCTTCTGTGCGCAGCGGGGGAAGGACACTGTCCCCCTCAACCACGGCCTCCCTCAGCAGCAGCGAGTCAAACTTGACTGTGTAGTAGCCGCTGTCCACATCTGCGGGCAGAGACAAACTGCAGGTCAGCATCCCTGACGACAGCAGGTGCCACTGCTCAGGAGCCATGCGGGACATTGGGAACAAGGCAGGGCAGAGGCTGAGGGCAGATGTGCTCACTGCGGGCACAGAGCCGGAGTCCTGACACTCAACACAAAGGCGGCAGGAAGTAGCCACCCAGTAGTAACACGTGAAGCATGGGAGGGTGTTCCTGGGAGGCCTCCATGGCCAGCCTCACCGGTGATGCGTGCTGCGTGCCAGAGGCCATCCTGGTGCTTGGCCAGACACGCAGAGCCGGCCTGCAGGGAGCTCAGGTCTGGGTCCTGGAAGGGGCGCAGCTCATCGACAGAGACCACCTGCCCATGGGAGAACCTGCAGAGAGAGCCGTAGGGGGCAGGGCTCAGACACAGGCCACCAGAGGCAAACAAACCCAGGAGCACTAACCCGTCTCCCTGGGCACTGTCCTAAGGGAGCCACACACACACACACACACATGTACACTCTCACAGACATACAAACACTCATGCATATATATACACACATGCATATATGTACACACTCATACACACACACACATGCATATATATACACGCTCATATACACACACTCAGACATATACACACACACTCATGCATATATATACACGCTCAGACATACACACATGCATATACACACATGCATATATGTACACACTCATACACACATCCATATAGATACACACATATGTACACAGACAAACATACACTCACATACACACATGCATATATATATACACAGACATATATATGCACACTCAAACATATGCACACTTACATGAACATACTCAGATTTATATACACACTCATGCACATATACACTCACATATACACACATGCATATACACACTCAGACATACACATGCATATATATACATATACTCATGCATATACAGACACCTGCGCATATATACACATTTACACACATGCATATACATGTGTATACACACTCATGTAAACACACATACACATCATACACAGGGGCCCTCACGCATACACATGCACTCACACGTACACACACGCACAAGACATGCACATATATATATATATACACACACACATGCATATACACACACTCATGGGTACACATGCACATATACACACACATGCAGTCATACACGCATATACACATGCACCCTCACACATACACCCATGTACACATGCATGCACTCACACACATGCACATACACACACACATGCATATGCACATATGCACTCTCACACTTGCTTAGACATACACAGTAGTCTGTTGGTATCCATGGGGACCCCCTGTGGACACCAAACTCCAAAGATGCTCAAGTCCCCTATATAAAATGATACAGTATTTGCACACAACCTACGAACATCTTCCCACATACTTTAAATCATCCCTAGACATGTCAATGCCATGTAAATAGTTGCTACACTGTATTAAGGAATGTCAAGGGAAAAAAAGCCTACACATGTTGTGTGTAGACCCAGCCATCCTTCTGTTCCCCCAACTATTTTTGACTCGATTGGTTGAATCGATGGATGTGGAACCCACGCATCCCAAGGGCTAGCTTGTGTGTACCCTTTACACACATACATGCACTCACACACACAGCCACTGGCATTCTCTCTCTTGGGATGGACTTGGCTGCTCCATGAGAACATGCCCCGTGTCCCCTCGCCTCCTGCTGGAGCCACAATGTGGCAGCAACCTGTGACAGCAGCTCCTGTGGCCTCACCACTACACAGGAAGCCGGCCACGCCACCAGTTCAAGGCAGATGTGTCGAGGGTGTGCACGTACTCATCTGACTGAGTCTTCCCTGACACTAGCAGAACCTAGTTATAAAATAGTGGCGCCTTGACTTTTAGGTATCAGTGAACCAGTAAAATTAAAACCAAAACCAAGACAGAGAGAGAGAGAATGAAGAGGAAGCGTGGGGACAGACAGGACTGCAACCTTTAACTGCCAAATAAAGACATGAAAAGCCGCCATCCACTACTACCGTGCCAGCATTTCAGAAAGGAAGTTGTTCTAACCCGACAAGAGCAACTGAGTGCTGGGCATGGGGACTCACACCTGTAATCCCAGCACTTTGGGAGGCCAAGCCAGGTGATCACGAGGTCAGGAGTTTGAGACCAGCCTGGCCAACATGGTGAAACTCTGTCTCTACTAAAAATACAAAAATTGGCTGGGCGGGGTGGTGTGCACCTGCAGTCCCAGCTCCTCGCTTGAACCTGAGAGGCAGAGGTTGTAGTGAGCAGGGATTGTGCCATTGCACTCCAGCCTGGACAACTGAGTGAGACTCTGTCTCAAAAAAAAAAAAAAAAAAAAAGGGCAAATGAGGACAGGTCTTCAGCCCCGACACAGAGCCAGCGCTGTCTTCCCAGTGGGAACTGGCAGGTGAGCTGAGTGAGGTGGGACAGGCATTTCAGTCATGTCTCATGGGGACACAAAGGTGGCCTCACGCCTCCCCAGGCCAGGATTCCAGGCAGCTCCTCCTCATGCCTACTGTTCTTAGGTACACAGGCCCTGCCAATGACCCGGGGGCACCAGCGGCTACAGGACTGTGCCTCAAATGCATTACATCAGAGACTGGCTAAAAAGGAGCAAGAGAACATGTTCAAAAGGTAGGGGTTAAACCCAGAGTGAATTCGATTAAATGCACCCCCTTCAGCACACCCACAGCATCAATTAATCA